TCTATTGTTAGAATGCCCCAGGGCTCAGTCTAATGTTTAACATACATTTACTTTACTTTTAATGTTGGTCTCACTTACTAGAATGTTGAGTTCTGTGAGGGCAGGATTTTCTTTTTAAAAAATTGTTTTAATCACTTCTGTATCCCCAATACCTAGAGTAGTGCCTGGTATGTAGTAGGTGCTTGATACAATTGTGGAATAAGTGAATGTTGAAGTAAATCACAAGTTGATTTGGGAAAATATTTGTAAATACCACTTTATTGTTTAAAAAGATCTTGTGGGTACTACTTGAATACAATGCTGATTACAATACTCTGCTGCAGAGTGATTTATGAGTTGTCTGCAGGATTTTGAGCTGTAAATAGTGGGCCTGAGTCTGTGCTAGTCAGTAAGAGGTAGGAAAGATACTTGCTATTGAGGCTATATTCAGAGTGGACAGTAGGTTACTTTTACTCTCTACTTACAACTGTACAATTTTGTTTACCTGTCTTTGAAGTATTTCTTGAAGATATTTTGAACTAGATCTAGGGAAACATATAGTTCCCAACTAAGGTTTTTGGTGGTAACAAGAAATAATGCTGAATGACTTTTTGGGTTTAAAATTGGATAAGGGGATAATTGTTTTTCAGGAAGCTTTATTTTTATTTATAAAATTGTTTTAAGAATTGTTTGCATCAATAGAAGTATAACAAAGTACGCTTTTGTTTCTAGGTGAAAAATTTAGAGAACTAATGGATAAGTTCCTGAGGGTTAACTTCAGTAAAGGCTGCCCACCCTTGTTTACTACTTTGAAATCTTTATATTACAATACAGAAAAGGTAAAATTTGGTATTCAGTTTTGCTATAGTCTTTTTACTAACTTAATTGTAGAAAGATTNCACCCTTGTTTACTACTTTGAAATCTTTATATTACAATACAGAAAAGGTAAAATTTGGTATTTATTCAGTTTTGCTATAGTCTTTTTACTAACTTAATTGTAGAAAGATCTCCATGTAAATAATATGCTGTGAAATCATTTAATCATTTTCTCTAGTGTAGTAATATTATTCACCTTATTTTTAGTCTAGTATCAGATGTACTGAAATTACATGCTTGTAGTATAAGTTATATAAAAGGAAATGTCAATCTGAAATTTACAGAGTAAATTTACAGAGTAAAGGGTTTTATAAAAGCACTACGATTATAAAGGTTGTTTATTTTTAACGGGTATACTTTTCTAGTAGGATTTTAAATTTGACATTGTTACCAGAGGTCTGTATTTTTAACTATTACATGCTTAATTATCTATTATTTTATAGTATGATTATATATTTTTAAATTTGTTATGCGTGCTTTTAAAGTTAGAGCATAGATAATTGATTTAGTGCAACAGTAAAACATCATTTGGTCAACAAAATAAATTACTAGTTTTAATTAATTTGGTATGTTTTAATAAATATGGTTTTAGTTATTTCTTGAATAAAGAGAATGATACCCTTATGCTTTTTAAAATTAGAAAATAAGCACTTAAATCTTAGTCATAAATTAGAAAGATAATTAGATAATTAAGTTAATAGAAAGCAAGTTATACTTTTATTGCTTCTTATTTATAAAGGTCTGAAATCTTGTGGTCTTTAATGTAGTCAGAGTTTTTGGAAGTTACTAGTGGAGAAGGAAAAGATTTTATTAGAAGTGCCAAATATTTTTAGTTAAGCCTGTATTTATATTTGTTTAGCTTCGACCTGTAATAATTTGTAAACTAGCAATAATTCTGAATAATAAAATGTTGAAAACAAGGTCAGTGATAGATATAACTCACTGGCATTTTCTTTCCTGCAGCAGCAGGTTTCATAAAAAACTGAAAGGAACAGCTGATAATATCTAGTACCAAATTAGTAAAAAGTGTCACATTAAAAAAAATCTGACAATTAGTTCTTTAATGTCTGTATTTTGCTTTATTTAATTGCAGTGGCTCTGCAGTCA